AAAAAAAAAAAAGGTAGTAGTAATCTAAATTCTTTATCAGTAGGAAATATGGAAGCTGTAAAAAATATAATAAACTTCTCTTAGAATAAATTTAGAAATAATGATTTAGCAAAAATGAATACATTTTTGTCTATCATTCTAATTTAAAAAGTTATTTTAGATTATTACATGACAGTGATTCATTATGGGGATTTAGCGTTTCATTTTAATTATTGCATATAACTAAATTAAAACTGAAATTTTTAATGATGTTATTTATTATTTACATTTGGTCTTTTTGAAAATACTAGATTGTATGTTGGACACATTTGTCTATTACAGTATAGAGTCTAAAAAAGGCAAAGATATAAGAGGACATAATATAAAACATTGGAGGGGTGTCTAAATGAATTTTTCATGGCTGTATATTCTAGTGAGACTAGTAATTATGTTTAATGTATTATTTGAGTAAATGAGTGTTTCATTATTCATTTTTAGAATTCCCTGATTTTGTGTAATTTGATATCAATTAATCTATGTATTTCATGATGTAATAATTCTCTTGAGATGTTTAGGCAACAAAGTGACTTTTTTTTTTTAAATGAATGAGATATCAAATCAAGTATTTATTGTCTACATTAAAATAATTAAAGTTATCCTTGACATATTGCTACTTCATTAACTTTTTTATGTGTCCTGGTCTGAAACTTCTGTAACAGAGCTCAGTTATTTTTTCTTGGTTCTCCCTTTCTTTTTTTAAAATTTTTATCTTTATTGAAAATGAAGACTTGGGGCGCCTGGGTGGCGCAGTCGGTTAAGCGTCCGACTTCAGCCAGGTCACGATCTCGCGGTCCGCGAGTTCGAGCCCCGCGTCGGGCTCTGGGCTGATGGCTCAGAGCCTGGAGCCTGTTTCCGATTCGGTGTCTCCCTCTCTCTCTGCCCCTCCCCCGTTCATGCTCTGTCTCTCTCTGTCCCAAAAATAAATAAACGTTGAAAAAAAAAAAATTAAAAAAAAAAAAAAAAAGAAAATGAAGACTTAACAAAATTTTTTTAATGTTTATTATTTATTTTCGAGAGAGAGAGAGAGACAGAACACAAGTGAGGGAGGGTTAGAGAGAAAGGAAGACACAGAATCTGTGAAGCAGGCTTCAGGCTCCAAGCTGTCAGCACAAAGCCCAATGCGGGGCTCAAACTCACAAACCATGAGATCATGACATGAGCCAAAGTCGGACGCTTAACAGACTGAGCGAAGGCACCCCAAAATTGCTGACAGTTTTAAAAGCACTTGTGTCGAGGGAGGAGGTTGGCTTCTAGTTTGTTTGTGGGGGTGTCTCAGAGGCTTTGAGAAAAGGAGGTAACAGGTGATCTTCATTCCATTCCATTTTGTGTATTTCTAAAAGTGAGGATAGGAGCATGGCCCTAGCCCCTATTCAGTTTTAAAAGTCTTCTCAACTGACTACAGAATTACGATTTTCCTTTTGGGATAATGTACAAAATTGTTGAATTAGTGTTTGAGGACTTCGGTTTGTAAATTCCAAATTTACTTTTTTTTTTTTAATTTTTTTTTAATGTTTGTTTATTTTTGAGACAGAGAGAGACAGAGCATGAACGGGGGAGGGGCAGAGAGAGAGGGAGACACAGAATCGGAAGCAGGCTCCAGGCTCTGAGCCATCAGCCCAGAGCCCGATGCGGGGCTCGAACTCACGGACCGCGAGATCGTGACCTGAGCTGAAGTCGGACGCTTAACCGACTGAGCCACCCAGGCGCCCCCCAAATTTACTTTTTTATCTTCTTCATTAACCAGGCTAGTCTGGAGCCCTAACACATTCTAAGTATTTCTTTCCTAGTGTATTTGCTCCATGTGTCTTTTGCCTCTGGCCTCTAACTCTCTAAAATTGAATATACTTGCTAATCTAAGTTATATCTATTCTTTAAGGCCTTAATATACTTATGTTAGCCATTTTATTACTTGTTTTTAGACATTGCTAATTTTTGTTCAGTTTATATATGTTTCTCATGTTGTTTGTAAGTAATTGACTTATTAGTAGGTTGATGATAAAGTACGTGAAATAAATAATTAAGTGCTAATCCTGCATTCAAATTCCAGTCCCCAAATAATGTTGGAGACAATTTTATAACTTCATTTTCCTTGAAATAGAGAACTTTTTATTAAGATAGATGAAAGCCTGCATCTATTTAATCCCCCTCCCCACCTTGTTTTTTTAAAAGAGTAAGTTTTTCAGACTGTTGCCTGTTGTTTTTGTTCCAGTTCAACTTTGCTGGCTTTTATCATGGAGTTGTTGAAGAACTCAATTGCTATGCAGGAGCAGATGCTTGCCTGCAAGGGCTTCTTGGTAATAGGATATAGTCTTGAAAAGGTAAAGTATGAGATGCATTATATATTTTGCTCTTAATTTTGAGGGCATGGATTTGGTCTCCTAAGTGGTTGAGCAATTCTTTCTGCAAGTGTGTCTCCTTGGTTACATAAAATTACCAAAATTAAAATAACCTTTTGTTGTTTTACCTTGCTTCCATTGCTTTTTTAGAGAAATGTGGCATCGAGTCTCATGGCATCTTTAACTTGTAGCAGTTTGTGGGCCAACTTTTTTCTGGTATTGAGAACCTTTAATGTACTTACTTTGCCTTGTATTGGTAGTGACCTTTGATCTATTTTTTTCTTTTCAGTCTTCCAAATCCCATGTCAACAGAGCAGTACTTGAACTTTGTCTTGCATTTTCAAAATATCTGAGTAATCTGCAGAATGGGATGCCCCTACTCAAACAATTGTGTGATCACATTCTTCTTAACCCAGCTATATGGATTCATACTCCAGCCAAGGTAATATATTGGTGTTGTTTTACTATCTTCACTAACTTTTTGTAGTTGAGAACAGTTACAATAATGAGGTTTTCTTTTATTCTTCTATATGTTGTCATATATGATTTTAGTAGATTGCAGTTTTTGACTAAGCTTTTTTTTTTCTTTTTTAGACATATTTGCAAATAAGTGTTATCTTTTCTTTCTTTTGTAAAGCAGTGTCAGTATTTTTTTTTGAAGTTTAAATTCCAACACATTTAAAATACGATGTTATAGGGGCGCCTGGGTGGCGCAGTTGGTTAAGCGTCCGACTTCAGCCAGGTCACGATCTCGCGGTCCGTGAGTTCGAGCCCCGCGTCGGGCTCTGGGCTGATGGCTCAGAGCCTGGAGCCTGTTTCCGATTCTGTGTCTCCCTCTCTCTCTGCCCCTCCCCCGTTCATGCTCTGTCTCTCTCTGTCCCAAAAATAATAAATAAATGTTAAAAAAAAAATAAAATACGATGTTATATTAGTTTCAGGTATATTGTATAGTGATTGAATAATTCCATACATCACCCAGTGCTATCATAACAAATGCAGTCCTTAACCCCTACCACCTATTTCACACATCCCCTTACCCAGCTCCCGTTTGGTAACCATCAGTGTGTTCTCTATAGTTTAGAGTCTGTTTCTTGGTTTGTTTTTATGTTTTTTTCCCCCTTTTACTCACTTATTTTGTTTAAATTTCACGTATGAGTGAAATCATATGGTATTTGTCTTTCTCTGACTGACTTATTTTACTTAGCATTATACTCTGTAGCTCCATTCATGTCCTTGCAAATGGCAAGATTTCATTCCTTTTTATGGCTGAATAATATTTGATTATATATGTATGTACCACATCTTCTTCATTCATTCATCGGTAGACGCTTGGGCTGCTTACACATTTCGACTGTTGGAAGCAATGCTGCTATAAACATAGGGGTGCATATATTCCTTTACTTTTTAAAAAAATATTTATTTACTTAGTCTCTACACCCAATGTGGGACTAGAACTCATGATCCTGAGATGAAAAGTAACATGCTGCCCAGACTGAGCCAGCCAGGTGCCCCATGGGGTGCGTATATCCCTTTGAATTAGTGATTTTGTATTTTTTGGAAAAATTCTCAGTAGGTTGATTACTGGATCATAGGGAAGTTCCATTTTTAATTTTTTGAGGGACCTCCATAGTGTTTTCCACAGCGGCTGCACCATTTTGCATTCCCACTAAGTGTGCAAGAGTATTTCTTTTTCTCCACATCCTTGCTGACAGTTGGTTCTTGTTGTTGATTTTAGCCATTTTGACAGTTGTGAGGTGGTAACTCATGTAGTTTTGATTTGCAATTCCCTGATGATGAGTGATGAGCGTCTGTTCATGTGTCTGTTTGCCATCTGGATGTCTTCTTTGAAGAAATGTCTGTTCGTGTCTTTTGCCCAATTTTAATTGGGTTGTTTGTTTTTTTGGTGTGTTGAGTTGTGTAAGTTCTTTATATATTTTGGATACTAACCTTTTATTGGATAGGTCATTTGCAAACATCTTCTTTCATTCAGTAGGTTGCCTTTAGTTTTGTTGATCATTTCCTTTGCTATGCAGAAACTTTTTATTTTGATGTTGTCCCTATAGTGTAGTTTTGCTTTTATTTCCCTTGCCTCAGAAGACATAGGTAGAAAAATGTTGCTATGGCCAGTCTCCGAGAAATTACTGCCTGTGCTCTCTTCTAGGATTTTTAAGATTTCAGGTCTCACATTAAGTCTTTAATACATTCTGAGCTTATTTTTGTGAATGGTGTAAAAAAGTGGTCCAGTTTCATTCTTTTGCATGCTGCTGTCCAGTTTTCCAAGCACCATTTGTTGAAGAGACTTTTTCCCATTGCATATTCTTACCAAGCAGTGCCAGTATTTTTAAAAAACAGCTATAATCTTTATTTTTTGTTAAATACAAATTATATTTGACTTTCATTTACTAAATATAAATCAAAGCTGGAAAGTTCCAATGTAAATATAATATTTCCTATCAATTGTAGCTCTGTTCTATTGCAAATATGCATACATATCAATGTGTATATATGTATGTATACATATTTGTGAGTTTAATTCTTCAGAAATAGCTGAAATGTCACCATTTTTGAAGGCTTCTAATGTATACTGGTCTCATTTAATCATTTTTATTCACATGAATTTAAATTATTATATACAATTATATTTGTGTACAATAATTTATTTAGCACTATAACAACAAACCAATTACTTCTAAATGAATATAAATGAATTTGTAATAAAGTATATAAATAAACCTTTGCTAAATCCTAATGTTGTATTAAATTGTCTTAAGAATATTGATAGTGGTAGTGTTAAGCAGAACTTGAAACAAATTTTTATTAAATTGCATAATTGTATATGCCCTATCTGAAGTTTTTGTTAGACATTGTATTATTTTAAACCTGTTAATTTCCTCTCTCCCCTTCTCCCTTTTGATCCACTTGGAATGTTTATCATTGTTTAGTTTGGAATAACAGGTACTTATTTTAGTTGTTGGAAAAAAAATCAGACTTCTTTGCTTTTCTAGAGTCATAGTATCTTATTTTCAGTTGGTCTTTTCAAATGTTAAAGAGAAAAACAGCTGCTGACTGTGATTGCCATTTGGAAATAATCAAAGGAGGCAGCTGGAGGCTGTACCTTTTAATCTCTGGGTTCAAATTTGACCTCTTTCTCTTTTGTGACCTTCAATCTTATTTCTTTTCAAGATTGTTTCAGGTTACTTTTTAAACCTTTTACTGGACACTTTTTTTGTCCACTAAGCAGCATATTTGTAAGGCTTTGGATCTCTTTTGATGTGGTCAAAAAGCCTCTTATTAGATACTTAGTAATAGAGGAATATTAAAAAAAATTCATTATATCATTTTCTTAGGTTCCTGGTATTACTGCACTCTGTTTCTTACCTTTTCTTGGTTAATAATTTTCTTTAATTTCCTTTTTAGAAATTACAGTGGTTATGTTAATATTAAACTTTCCTTCTGTTTTAGTTGTTTGCTTTGTATATCCATAAGGGGTTAAATCTACCTTAATTTTATTATAAAGATAGTTCTAGCAAGGTTTGTTTTGTTTTCCAATGTTTGTTTGGTCTGAATGTTATACAATTAGAGGGAGGGTCGAAATTTTTAAGAAAAAGAATATGACATAATGCATACAAATGAGGTTTAGGGTTTTGCAGAGAACCTGTATAGATGAGTGAGCATAAAGTTTAAACTTCATTAGCTTCATGGTAATTTCACCTGTGGTTACCAAAGTTGAAGGCATATATGTATGAATCAACCTTTGCTTTTGAAAAGGGTGCTTAATGGAAGGTTACTTTCATTTGTTGGTTAACTTTTATCACAATGGATACTGTGGTGAACAAGACAGCTCTAATTCAGTGAACAAGACAGCTCTAATTCTTGCCCTCATAGAATGTAATGGGAAAGACTGATATTAACACATATAATTTATATGGTTACTAAATTACATAATAAGTAAATGAGGAGTGTTTATTCATTGTTAGCATATGAATAATCTTGAGGTCCCCATTCTTATTCATGTCAATGTGTTATTAAAGCCTTTTCTTTTACTACAGTATTATTCTCAATAAACTGACTTTCTTCAGTTTTTCCTATTTTTATGACTTTTTTTGCCAGAATTTTTATGTTTATAACTCTCATCAGATCATTTCTTAGCCCCCAAATGTGTAATAGCTTCCAGTTGTTTTCAGAATATAGTAGTCCCTTTTCTAGTATCAAGTCTTCATGTCAATACTCTTTTCTAAGCTTTCTAGCTTAAAAACTCAGTTATCCTCAGTGGGTAAAACATTATGCTAAAAACATTATGCCTGAGCCGTGGTTCTCAGTCCTGGCTGATGATAGAACCTGTTGGGAGAGGTTTTATTTTTTTGTTTTGTTTTTTTTAAAAAATCAAAATCAGAATTCCATCCTACATTGTGTTTTTTAATTGGTCTGGGATAGGGCCCAGGCATCAGCATTTAAAAAAATATTTTTCAGGTAGGCTAATGCACACTCAGGTTTGAAGAGCATTGTTCTAGATCTTGGGAAGCCTGTTGTATGATCTACCATTTTCCCTGTTTGAAATATCGTCTTTGGTTCTGTCTACCTATCTTAGTACTAACTTTCAAAGCCTACCTTAATACCTGTTTTATTAGTTAGGCTTTTTTGCTTATCTTATAATAATTTCTCTGGCCTCCAAATTGATAGTTTCTAATAAGTCTTTGCTACTTATTTTGTAATTAATTACACACTTCTGTTTCTTTCTTTCTTATTTTTTTTAAGGTTTTATTTTTAAGTGATCTCTATACCCAGTGCAGAGCTTGAACTTATAACTCTGAGACGAAGTGTGCTCTACCTACTGAATCATTCAGATGCCCCTTTATAAATGTGTTAATTCCAGATGCTTTTTAAAATAATTTTCTTAAGTCATCTTTATATTTCAATAGGTTTGTTTTTCACTTAAATGTATGTCTATTTTTCATTTTCTCAACTGGATTTCATCTACTGAGGGACAGTGTGTATGACATTATATTTCCATAATACATCATTATGCATAGTTGGATGTAAATATTTTCTAAATGGTTTAAATAGCATCATCAAGAATTTGAACCATGTGACAAAGTATTTTTTTTTCAATATGAAATTTATTGTCAAATTGGTTTCCATACAACACCCAGTCCTCATCCCAACAGGTGCCCTCCTCAATGCCCATCACCCACTTTCCCCTCCCTCCTACCCACCCCCCCCCCCATCAACCCTCAGTTTATTCTCAGATTTTAAGAGTCTCTTTTGGTTTGCCTCCTTCCCTCTCTGTAACTTTTTTTTCCCTTCCCCCCCCCCCCCCCACCATCGTCTTCTGTTAAGTTTCTCAGGATCCACATAAGAGTGAAAACATATGGTATCTGTCTTTCTCTGTATGACTTATTTCACTTAGCATCCACATTGCTACAAAAGGCCATATTTCATTCTTTCTCATTGCCAAGTAGTATTCCATTGTATATATAAACCACAACTTCTTTATCCATTCATCAGCTGATGGACCTTTAGGCTCTTTCCATAATTTGGCTATTGTTGAAAGTGCTGCTATAAACATCGGGATACAAGTGCCCCTCTGTATCAGCACTCCTGTATCCGTTGGGTAAATTCCTAGGAGTGCTATTGCTGGGTCATAGGGTAGATCTATTTTTAATTTTTTGAGGAACCTCCACAGTGTTTTCCAGAGTGGTTGCACCAGTTTGCATTCCCACCAACAGTGCATGAGGGTTCCCGTTTCTTCACATCCTCTTCAGCATCTATAGTCTCTTGATTTGTTTATTTTAGCCACTCTGACCGGTGTTATCTCAGTTTGGTTTTGATTTGCATTTCCCTGATGAGAGTGACGTTCAGCATCTTTTCATGTGCCTGTTGGCCATCTGGATGTCTTCTTTAGAGAAGTGTCTATTCATGTCTTCTGCCCATTTCTTCACTGGATTATTTGTTTTTTGGGTGTGGAGTTTGGTGAGTTCTTTATAGATTTTGGATACTAGCCCTTTGTCCAGTATGTCTTTTGAAAATATCTTTTCCCATTCCATCAGTTGCCTTTTAGTTTTGTTGATTGTTTCCTTTGCAGTGCAAAAGTTTTATCTTGATGAAGTCCCAGTAGTTCATTTTTGCTTTTAATTCCCTTGCCTTTGGAGATGTGTCAAGTAAGAAATTGCTGTAGCTGATGGCTTATATTCAGGTCCTTCATCCATTTTGAGTTTTTTTTTTTGTGAATGGTGTAAGAAAATGTTGTGACAAAGTGTTAAATAGCCTCACTGACAAGTAAACTGGGCCTGTCCATTTGAATGATATTAGCTGCATGAAAATAATATTTTTCTGCGAGTCATTGGAATATACCATATGTATAGTATTGTACGCTATAATCATTAGGCTTCAATTTTAGGTGGTTCAGACTCTGCCACTCTTTATCCTGTGTTTCTTTTTATATTAAGAGCTTAGGAGTGCCTGGGTGGCTCAGTCGGTTGAGCATCTGACTCTTGATTTCAGCTCAGGTCATGATCCCAGGCTGCTTAAGATTCCCTTTCCCTCTTTACCCTCTCCCCCACTTGGACACTCTCTCTTTTAAAATAATAATAAGAGCTTATATTTTGAAGTTAGTAAGTTTTTATGTTTTTATTGAGATGATTTATTTGGAAATAAGACTAGTGGAACCCTTTTTATTATTTAAAAATTTTTTTGTTTTATTTTTTCTATTAGAGAGGGGGGAGGGGCAGAGAGATGGAGACAGAATCTGAAGCATGCTCCAGGCTCTGAGCTGTCTGCACAGAGCCATTCACAAGCAGTGGAATCATGACCTGAGCTGAAGTTGGACGCTTAACCGACTGAGCCACCCAGGTGCCCCTTTAGAATCCTTTTTTTTTTTATTTTTAAAAAAAAATTTTTTTTTTCAACGTTTATTTATTTTTGGGACAGAGAGAGACAGAGCATGAACGGGGGAGGGGCAGAGAGAGAGGGAGACACAGAATCGGAAACAGGCTCCAGGCTCTGAGCCATCAGCCCAGAGCCCGACGCGGGGCTTGAACTCCCGGACCGCGAGATCGTGACCTGGCTGAAGTCGGACGCTTAACCGACTGCGCCACTCAGGCGCCCCATCCTTTTTTTTTTTAAATGTTTATTTATTTTTGAGAGAGAGAGAGAGAGAGAAAGAGCGTGAGCAGAGGAGGGGCAGAGAGAGGGGGACAGAATCTGAAGCAGGCTCCAGGCTCTGCGCTGGCAGCACAGAACCCGATGCGGGACTCGAACTCACAGACTGTGGGATGACCTGAGCCAAAGTTGGATGCTTAACTGTGCCACCCAGGTTCCCCTTTAGAATCCTTTTCTAATTAGAGGATAAAACTGATAAACATGTTGAGAAATTATAATCTTAAGATTATATTCGTAGCAATGAGCTGTTATAACAGAATTCTGTTTTTCTAATAAATATTTCTTAAGGTAGGCTTTACATTTTCTATCCCTTTTGACTTCTGCCTTTCCCCCTTTCAGGTTATTCCTACTTTTTTATTTCTTCTTTGAGTTATTCTAGCTTCTAATTTTCTGCAAAACCAAGAAAATTTCCAGTTTTTTAAAACAACTGTGCATAGTATGAAGAGTAAACTTACTATACAAATAAGTTATATATGCTTATGAGTAAGTGCTAATTAATTAGGAGTTAGTTATTTTCATGGGATAGCTGTAAAAATTTGATATATTTTGGGATGATTACTTTATAATGCTACTATTTAAAGAAGCATTTACTTGGTTTAGTTTTATAAGGAACGTGTGTGTTTACGTGTGTATATATATGCATGCGCCTGTGATTATTGTTACCTTTTAACATGGTAACTTGTTACCATCAAGATCAGCATCTTCATGGAAAAAGTATGGTCCACGCAACTAGCCTGAACATATACTGAGTAAGTATACTGCTTCTTTGATGTAAACTCTTCATTTTGATTCTCTAGGTTCAGTTGACACTCTATACTTACCTGTCCACGGAATTCATTGGTACAGTCAACATATATAATGCCATTCGGAGAGTTGGAACAGTGCTTCTCATCATGCATACACTGAAGTACTACTACTGGGCAGTGAATCCTCAGGATCGAAGTGGTATCACCCCAAAAGGATTAGGTATGTTATCTCAGCCTACATATTTTGTCATGGATTGTTTTTCTTTGTTTTAACCAATAATATATTATTCTTGAAGTTTTTCTGAATATCATCATGGCAAAATTATATTTTAATCTTACTAATAATTTTAATAGTTTGTACTGAATTGTGATTGACAGAGGTTAATAACTCGCTACTTAAAATAAAAACTAGCTACTTTTATAGAAGAATGCTACTGCTGCTTCTATAAGTTGTTTGCAGAGTGTATATTAAGGCACTGAAAATGTGAAGAAATTTTATATTAGCATATGGTGTTGATGCAGAAGCTAATTCTCATAATGAGAATAATTAAAAACCATGTTTTTTGGGAAATGGAGATTTCTTATGGAAGTAGGGGAGTATCTACTTCTAATAAATAATATAATGAACTTATAAAATTTCAGTAATTATTTCCCTGTATAATCAATTAGGAAATTACTGGAAAGATAATATTCATTCATCATGTCAGAAATTTATGGGAAGGATCAAAATAAAAATTTTGATAAATGGTGGATCTTTTGGTTGTAAGTACAACCTACTTTAAATTGGCTGTTGTTGTAAAAGGGTGTTGTTAATCACCTCATATAAATTGGCATTTTTAGTAAAACATGGTGCAAGGATTCAGAATATGGCTCTTGAACCCAGTTTGTCTCTCTCCATTTCCCAGTTTTTCTTTGTTGGCTCTTTTCATGTATTCTCTCCCTTTAGCAGCCACTCCACCTTCACAACCTTAAACCTACAAGTCCAGCAGAAGAGTGTCTGCCTGTATTGAACATTTCCAGCAAAAGTCTTTTGTTGCTCATTGGCTCTGATTGTATCATATGTCCAGTCTATGTGGCAGGTATTTTTCTGATTGCCTGTACATGGGCATGGAAGCCAGTCCCACCTCTGAAATACATGATCTGAGAGCAAGGATGGGTTCAGTACCTTGATAAAAATTGAGAGCTGCTGCTTGAAATCAGGAAATAGATAGATGCTGGAGAGTCACTGTACTTAAATGCTTTGGCTGGCTGTTCAGTGATTTACAAACACAAGGTTTCATATTAGTATGAAGCTTGCTTTATCCATTTCAAAATAAATTCTGCTTATTCTTAGAGAATACACTATGTATAATTTAGAAAGATATGAGTGCACACAGAATTTATATGATCTCTTTAAGGTGGTAAGGTTGTAGCCTATGTAGAGCTAGATCGTAATTTCCTGATGTAGCTGTATCATGTACATGTGCTGAATATTAGTTTTGTATTCTGGCATTTATTTTATAGACTGATTAGTGACCTTGGGGAAGTCTCATACTTCAAGTGAGAGAGCTGAACAGAGTTTGTAATTAATTCTGTTGTAACTCAGTAACTCTCTCCTATTCTTTGTCTAGGAATTGTCATGTGGAAAAAGTTTTAAGCAATTTTCTTCCTATTTTAATTGATCTGTTTGAGGTCATGGTGGTCCTGTGCTTTGGTGGTCTAAGAACTAGCTGTAGATAGTGATTAGTGGCGGGGGGTTGGGGGCGGAATTGCAGAAAATACGGGGCAAACAGGTACCTAACTTTAGGATCTTACAACAATGGAGTTTGGTTTCAAAAGCATTCTACTTGAGGATTATTTGTTTGAGACATGAAAATTGACTTTAATGTGAGCCATGTGTGACCAAGGACTTTTTCAAGAAGAGGAGGAGATGTCAGAGGTAGTCAACATAACATTCCCTTCTAAATGAACCAAACTGTGTTGAGGTGTACTTTAAAAATTTTTTGTATTAGCTTATACAATAGTAACAGTAGAAGTTTATTTCTTACTAAATTCACATATAAAGTTTAGATTTTCCTTTTCTTTTTTCTTTGTAAACTTCTGTTACTGTATTAACATTCTCAGAGTCTTTTAAAGCAAAATATAAGTGCATATTGTTATTGAGTATGAATTTTATTGCCTCATTTTCATGTTTTAGAATTCATTTAACCTTAATCAAAAATAAACTTCTTCATTATAGTTTCAGCATAACCCATTTTGTACCTTTGAAACATTGTATATACAATTGTATGTGAGATTGAATGTCTTTCTAGAAGGCATAAAACTCTTTAAATTGAGGAATAATTGACGAACAGTATTGTATTAGTATCAACATAGTGATTTGATATTTATATACATTACAAAATGGTTACCACAATAGTCTAGTCACCATCTGTCAACATATAAAGTTGTTACAATATTATTAACTATATTCCTTAAACTGAATAGTAAACTCTTTGAATTTATTTTATAATTGGAAAATTGTACCTCTTGATCTATTCATCTATTTTGTCTATCCTGCCATCTTCCTCCCCTCTGGTAATTGTCAGTTTGTTTTCTGTACATATGAGTGTTTTACTTTGTTCATTTGTTTTGTTTTTCAGATTATACATATAAGTGAAATTATCAGTATGTCTTTCTCTGACTTCACTTAGCATAATACTCTTTAGGCCTATCCCTACATGTCACAGTGACAAGTTTTCATTTTTATGGCTGAGTAATATTCCTGAGTGTGTCGTGTTTGTGTGTGTGTGTGTTGTGTGTGTGTGTGTGTGTGTGTGTGTGTGTGTGTGATGTGTGTGTGTGTGTGTGTGTGTGTGTGTACTCGCCACATCTTTACCCTTGTATCTGTCTATGGACATTTAGGTTACTTCTGTGTCTTCACTATGGTAAATAATGGTGTGGTTAACATAGGGATGCAAATGTTTTTAAATTCATAGTTTTTTTGGGTAAACACCTAGAAGTGGAATTGCTGGATTGTATGGCAATTCTAATTTTTATATTTTGAGGAATCTCCATACTGTTTTCTATAGTGGCTACACCAGTTTATGTTGTCAACAGTGTGTTAAGGTTATTTTTCTTCACATTCTCACTAATATTTATTACTTCTTGTCTTTTTGATTTTAGCCATTCTGGCAGGTGTGAGTGATGTCTCATTATGGTTTTGATTTGCATTTCCCAGATGGTTAGTGATGTTGGGCATCTTTTCATGTGCCTGTTGGTCATCTGTATGTCCTCTTAGAGATTTTTCTTGTTCTTGAGGTAGGCCTGTTTTGACATAAACTTCCCTTTTGGATCTGCTTTTGCTGCATTTCATAGATATTGGAACATTATATTTTCACTTTCATTTGTCTCAAGGTATTTTCCAATATCCTTTTTGATTTTTTTTTTTTTTTTGGCCCATTGGTTTTTTATTTTTATTTACTTTTAACTTTTTTTTTTTTTTTTTTTTTTTTTTGAGAGACAGAGGGTGGGTGGGGAAGGGGCAAAGAGAGAGGGAGAGATACAGAATCTAAAGCAGGCTCCAGGCTCTGTGATGTTACCATAGAGCCTGATGGGTGGCTTGAACTCACAAACCGTGAGATCATGATCTGAGCCGAAGTCAGATGCTTAGCTGACTGAGCCACCCAGGCACCTCTCCCATTGGTTTTTTAGTAACATGTTTTTTGGTCTCTGCATGTATGTGTTTTTTTCTAATTTTATTCTTGTAATTGATTTCTAGTTTCATATCATTTGGTTGGAAAGATGCTTGATCCAATTTCAGTCTTTTTTAAAATTTAATGTATTTTATTTTATTTGAACAATATTTTTTAATGTTTATTTATTTTTGAGAGAGAGAGAGCACGAGTTGGGGAGGGGCAGAGACAGAGAGGGAGACACAGAATCTGAAACAGGCTCCAGGCTCTGAGTTGTTAACACAGAGCCCAATATGGGGCTTGAACTTGGGAACGGTGAGATCATGACCTGAGCCGAAGTCGGACACTCAACCGACTGAGCCACCTAGGTGCCCCTATCTTATTTATTTTTTAAAATGTTTATTCACTTTTGAGAAAGAGAGAGACAGAACATGCTTGGGGGAGAGGCAGAGAGAGAGGGAGACACAGAATCTGAAGCAGGCTCCAGGTTCTGAACTTTCAGCACAGAGCCTGACACGGGGCTTGAACCCACAAACTGCTAGATCATGACCTGAGCTGAAGTCGGAGGCTTAACCAACTGAATCACCCAGGTGCTCCTGCAATTTCAGTCTTCTTAAATTTATTTAAAGAGACTTGTTTTGTGGTCTGTCATGCTAATATTCTAGAGAATGTTTCATGACTTGAGAAGATGTGTCTTGGGTTTTTTGGATGGAATGTTCTGTACATACCTGTTTAGTGTATATGGTCTAATGTGTTATTTAAGGCCAGTGTTTTCTTATTCATATTCTGTCTGGATGATCTATCTATTGATGTAAGGGGAGTGTTAAAATCCCCTACTATTATCGTATTACTGTCAGGTTCTCCCTTTTTGTTTGGTAATGTTTGCTTTATGTATTTAGGTGCTGCAATGTTGGGCACATAAATATTTACAAGTATTATGCCTTCTTGTTGGATTAATCCCTTTATCATTTTGTAATGTGCTTTATCTCTTGTTACAGCTTTTTAAAAAGTCTCTACTGTGTGATATAAGTATTGCCAGTCCAGCTTTTTTTTCATATCTGTTTTCATGGTATATCTTTTCCCATCACTTCACTTTTAGTCTATGTGTATCTTTAGATCTGCAGTGAGTCTTTTGATGGCACATATAGAGGGTCTTGTTTTTTTTTTTTTAGTTTTAAAAAAAAATTTTTTTTTTCAACATTTATTTATTTTTGGGACAGAGAGAGACAGAGCATGAACGGGGGAGGGGCAGAGAGAGAGAGGGAGACAAAGAATCGGAAACAGGCTCCAGGCTCTGAGCCATCAGCCCAGAGCCTGACGCGGGGCTCGAACTCATGGACCGCGAGATCGTGACCTGGCTGAAGTCGGACACTCAACCGACTGCGCCACCCAGGCGCCCCTTTTTTAGTTTTTTTTTTAAATGTTTATTTATTTTTGAGACAGTTAGAGACAGAGTGTGAGCATGGGAGGGGCAGAGAGAGGGGGAGACACAGAAACCGAAGCAGGCTTCAGGCTCTGAGCTGTCAGCGGGGCTCAAACTCACAAACTGCGAGATCATGACCTGAGCTGAAGTCAGATGCTTAACTGAGTGAGCCACCCAGGCCCCCCACCTTTTTTTTTCTTACTCATTCAAATTCAGAGTTATTACTGATACATATTTATTGCTATTTTGTTAAATGACTTACTTTTTTTTTTTTTGTACTTCTCTGTTCCTTTCTTCCTTCTTGCTATTTTTCCTTGTGATTTGATGATTTTGTTTAGTGTTATTTTTGGATTCCTTTCTTTTTGTTTTTTGTGTTTCAAAGGTTTCTTTGTGGTTGCCATGAGCTTCAAATCTAAAAACCTAAGTATATAGAAGTTCATTTTAAGTCGTCATTCCTTAAGTTCAAATGCATTCTAAAAGTATTACATTTTTGCTCCCCTCATCTCCCAATATTTTATAGTTTGATACCATATTTTAAACTTTTTATTTAGTGTATTTCTTAACTGATTATTGTAGATAGAGTTGATTTTACTACTTTGGTCTTTGAGTTTTATACTACCTTTCCAAGTGAGTGATCACCTACCTTTACTATATGTTTGCCTTTACCAGTGTGTTTTTTTTCTTTCTGATAATTTTCTTATTTCTAGTTATGGCCTTTTTTTATTCCTGCCTAAAAAAATCCCTTTAATATTTCTTATAGAGCATGTTTAGTGGTAATGAACTTCTCTACCTTTTGCTCGTCTGGGAAACTCTTTATCTTTTCAGTTCTAAATGATAGTATTGAGGCTTAAGTCCCTTTAGGTGACTCACTTTTATGTTTCTCAAATAAATGTACAGAAACTATTAGGAAAGACAATTTTATTCTTTGCTTTAAGGTCTTTGAAACACTAAGTGTGCATGTATATATTTTTTTTTCCAAAGACGGACCACGACCTAATCAAAAAGAAATATTTTCTCTACGAGCATTCTTATTGATGTTCATTAAGCAGTTAGTGATGAAGGTAAGTTTATTTTTACTTTTACTTTGGCATGTTCTGTATTTTAACTTCTAATTTCACGTAAGATACTGTCTATTTACTCTTTGTTGGATTCCTAGGATTACACATTGGAAAATACTCTGAAAGATACTTTTTTCTATGTTTTTCATTCTTTCTTGTGCACTTATGGATATATATTATTGCAGAATTGGAGATAATTGTAATATATGTTATGAATTTCTGTAGGTGTGCAAGTGGATTTATTCTTTTATTCAGCAAATATTTACTGAGTTTCTGTTTAGTACTTAGTATTATTCTTGGCAGTAGTGATACAGTAGTCAACAAAACTCTTCTAGGAGGTTTCATTTTTAGGGGGCCTCTTGTACCTGACATTCAGGTTTTGAGAAAAAATTTCCCTGTATAAATATACCAGGAAGATATATCAGCCTTTAGAAATGATTGCCTTTGTCCCATTTAATTCTGTTGTAAGTAAAGTAATATTTATTATTTTTAAAGAAGGTGTTTTGCTTTTATAAGATAACAATACATAAATGAATTTTTTGTCAAAATTTTATTCCCTGTTTCCTGTCATCATTTTATTATTTTTTAGAATTTAATATTATGTTACATGGACCAAGCTTTTAGTATATCTTTTAGACTCAGATACCTTATTTCCATTTATAAAAAAATTTATCCCTTGAATTTTGTTTTTAAAAAATTTTTCTAGTGTTTTTTTTTCTAATTCTCTTTTATTAGAAAAATTTTTTTAATGGTTATTTATTTTTGACAGAGAGAGACAGAATGCAAGTAGGGGAGGGTTAGAGAGAGGGAGACACAGAACTTATAGCAGGCTTCGAGCTCTGAGCTGTTAGCACAGAGCCCAACGCGGGGCTCGAACCCATGAACTGTGAGATCATGACCTGAGCCAAAATCAGATGCTTAACCTACTGATCTGCCCAGGGGCCCCCTGTAATTCTCTTTCTCATTGCAGCTTTGTTTTATTGTTAATAAGTTGATAGGATAGGTTGAAAATTTAAATACTGAGTTCATATTTAAAAGTATTGTGTTTTAAACCTCAGGGAAGGTACTACTCAATTTTTAATACCTGATGTTTTAGCTGGTAATTTTAGAAGCTATTCATTTACTTTCCAAATTTAATAGAAAAAAGAAATGGAAAAGTTGTCTTCTGTATTTGATATAGTGGTAGCTGTTGATAGTACTCTTTAACATTAATTATTGTTTTTCTTCAGAATTCTGTAGCTCTGTTGGATAGCTTACCATATATGGTTCTGAAAAGAGGATACTGATGTTATTTCTTTTGACTTTTACCCAGTCTTGATTACTGCATATCTTTTTAATACTTTTTAAAAAAAGTTTTATTTAAGTAATCTCTGCACCCTATGTGAGACTTGAACTCATGACTCTGAGATCAAGAGTCACACACTCTTCTGACTAAGCCAGCCAGGCACCCCTCGCCTAGTACATTTTTTAAATTTAGATTCTATGTGATTATATCTTTGTATATTTATTGCAACTGACCAGGTTGAAAAAATGTTAAAGTATTTCCCTTTTTAAAAAAGTTTTTTATATGTAAGTTTAAGATACTTATGTTATGTTTTTAAAGGATTCTGGAGTAAAGGAAGATGAATTACAGGCCATTCTTAATTACCTACTCACTATGCATGAGGTAACATTTGAATTTTATATTTTGGGATTTTATATTTTGAAGCTGTAGTGTCATTTTTTTTTAAAGTAAAAAAGTTAAAATTATCTTTCATTAATTATATGACTATCATTGGGGGAGTAAATGTATTTAGGAACTAAATCTTAGCAACTTTCATTTAAATAACCTGTGTTATCACAGATGGCTTTGAGAATAATCATGAAAAGCTTTAAAAGGTTTTGAAATTAGATCTTATTGAATGAATAAGAAAGTATGCCAAAGAATACCTTTATTGTATCTCTAAGAACCAGTGTAACATATGGAAAAATAGAATATAAATGTAAAACATGCCAATGTAATCTAATTAAATAATTGGATTAAATATTTTTTAAATAATTAAAATTCGGAATTGATGGAATTTCATGTTAAGCACAGAATTTTAAATGATAATTTACATTTCTATCTTATAATTCATGTCTTGTGCTTTAATAAATATCTGTTATAGTATGAAATAATGTGTTTGTAAATCATTAATAAATGAGAGATATTATTTTGACCTATCTTAATTGAGGTAGAAAAGTAGCTTCAATTTCTTGATTGGATCATATTTGACTAAAATATTAGTGATTGTGCTTTCTTTTTCCTCTTGATTAGGGCATTTTTTTCCTTACTCAGTGTAATAGTTGAAGATTTTTCAACTGAATTTCCTAGTAATGTTTTTGCATATGATTTTGCTTTTTTAAACATCTTTATTTACTTATTTGTTTGTTTATTTGTTTATTTATTATTTATTTATTTAGGGAGTACCTGTGCATGCAAGTGGAGGGAGGGGCACAAAGAGAAGGGGAGAGAGAATCTGCCCTGTCAGTGCAGAGCCTGACATGGGTCTTGATCCAATGAAACGTGATTTTGTTTTTTTATTAATCCTGACTCCCTAAGGGACTGAAGTATTTCATAAAAGAGAAATTGGAAGTCACAGTGATCTTCCCTTTTCTCTTATTTCGTTAATTCAGGAATCTTTCAATTCCTTCAGATGATACTTTTCCCAAGCCTCAGTGCCCTAGCTCTAGATTATCTGCTTAACTTACTGAAAATTAGATATTCAAATAGGTGCCAAAACCAAAGCTCCAGAGCAGTGGGCAAGAACCTATAGACAAGGCAAGAGATAACTAGCTCTTGATAGCTGCTTCCCTTTTCCTCTTTGGGTCATTATTGCCCAAGTTGGTTCTGATAATATGCATACATACTGGAATATTTAACCAAGGATGTATAGGATTTCTTGGAATTTTTTTTGTATTTCACAACTTACATATGCTTCTGTGCTATTCTGTCAATATTATCAAGTTATACTATATACAGTAGTCTTGCTTCAGCAAACATTTATGATCGTCTATATTTTCACTACTGTCAATAAATAATATATGAAAACTGTTCATTTATTTCCTCCAAAGCTTACTGTTGGAACTAGTTTCTTGAGAGGGTCAGTGAATAAAGTGGTCCAGGTGAAAAAAATTGGGAAATGATACATATGTTGTCCCCAACACTGCCACCAGATTGACAACATCTATTACCTTATTAAAGACTGTAATATGTTTTGCTATAAAAAAGAAAACAACCTAGTTTTCGCTTCCCCCAGTTTCTTGATGTATATACCTTCTCTAAAAAAATCCTGTTTGGTCAGATGTTAGTATATCTATAGAATATGTTTTCGGAAATCTTGACACTGTATTATAAGAGGGGTTTTGTTTCTTTGATTAAGAAACTATGTGACTATTTGGTGATGTGTATTTTGAGTTAAACAGATGAATATGTGTATGTTTGTTAAAAACCAGTTTGTTAAAAACAAGTATATATTGCTCAATATATATATATAACAAACTGGTTTGTTAAGAACCAGTTTGTTAAAAACACATATATATTGCTCATATATCTACATATTATTTTAAGTTAGAATTTCTTTTGTTTTGGAAGTATACAGTGTTCAAAAAAGTTATTTTTTCCTTGTTTTAAAAAATTTCTACATTGATTTTAGGACGACAATCTAATGGATGTCCTACAACTGCTTGTTGCATTAATGTCAGAACATCCTAACTCTATGATTCCTGCTTTTGACCAGAGGAATGGATTACGGTAGGAGTTGTATATCAGGGATTTAATTATATTTAATATAAGAGTTTAGTTTGGAAATGATAGAAGATTCTCACATATGGGAAGTACTATTGGATCATGTATTATAAATGAGTTAGGATATAAGACCCGTTTTATGTGTTATGTTTTTTTTTAAGAAATCTTTAATTTTATAGAGGCTGTGTTACTATTTAATTTGTGAAGACTGATCAAATAAATCATGTGAATATTTTGTATGGCTAGTGCTGTTAGACAGGTATTGTAAGATTGAATTCTTTAACAGTGTTATCTTTAGATCCTAGAACAGTAGTACTCATTTGTGGCTCAAGAAAAGATCTCTTTCCTCCCTTTTAAATATCACTACCTTTATACCCAATCCCAAATCATCATTGTATTAATCTACTTGGGCTTCCATAACACAATATCATAGACCGGGTTCCATAAACAACAGAAATTTATTTTCTTACAGTTTTGGAGACTAGAAATTTAAGATCAAGGTATCAGCAGGTATGGTGTCTGGTAAGGGCTCTCTTCTCAAACTGTAGATAGCCACCTTCCCATTGTGTGTTCACATGACCTGTTTATATGTGTATGAAGGAAGAGAAAGAGAGAAAGCTCTCTGGAGGGAGAAAAAAAGCTCTCTTGTCTCTTTTTATAAGGATATTATTTCTGTTGTATCAAGGACCTAACCTTATGACCTCATTTTATCTGAATTACTTCCTTTTAAGCCCCATCTCCAAATATAGCCATACTAGGTATTAAGGCTTTAACATATGAATTGGGAGGTATACATTTAGTCCATAACAACAACAAAACCAGAATACTTTTGTTTTAAATCATTCATTTAATAAAAAGATTTTGGGCCACAAAAGTTTTAAGAACAACTTTGCCAGATGATAAGCTACGGTAACTAATGATCTAGTTACAGTAAATTTCCCACATCAGTTCTCTATTTCAAATATTTTTTTAGTACTTTTCAATGCTCGTTTGCTATTAGAAGATGGCTTTATATGTTATCCTTAAGGGAGTGTATTTTTAGAGTTATCTAGAGAAAAAGAACCAGTTGAGAGAGACAGAGAGATTGACTGATTGATTGACGGTTGATTTTAAGGAGTTGGCCCATGTGATTGTTGAGGCCAGTAGGTCCAAAATTTACATGGTCGGGAGGGGGGCAGGCTGGAGATGTAAGAGCTGATGTTGCAGTTTAAGTCCAAAGGCAATCTGCTGGCAAAATTCCCTCTTTTTTTTAGGGAGGTTAGTTTTTTTTTCTTCTCCTTCTGTTTTAAATGTGTATTTATTTTGAGAGAGAGAGGGAGAGGGAGAGAGATAGAGAGAGAGAGAGAGAGAGAGAGAGAGAGAATCCCACACAGGCTCCACGCTGTCAGCACAGAGTCTGATGCAGGGCTTGATCCCATGAATCATGATATCATGACCCGAGCCAAAATCAAGAGTCGCCAGCTTAACTAAGCCACCCAGGTGTCTGTCTTCTTTTCTATTAAAGGTTTCAATGGGTTGTATGAAGCCCACTCAAATTATGGAGGGTAATCTGCTTTACTCAGAGTCTGTTGATTGAAGTGTCAGAGTAAATGCTTACCTCATAGAAGGATTTGGAAAGTATTTCCTACTCTTCAACTTTTTTGAAGAGTTTGTATAGAGTAATTGTTATTTATTCTTTAAATGTTTGGTAAAATTTACCAGTGAAGTTATTTTTGTGTGAAATTTTCTTCATAGAGAGGTTTTTTGCTACAGTTCCGATTTCCTTAATAAATATAGGGCTGTTTTTTTTTTTTTTTTTACCTATTTTTTCTGTGATGAGCTTTGATAAGTTTCCTTTCTTTTTACATTTTATTTTTTAATGTTTATTTAGTCAGAGAGAGAGAGTGCAAGCAAGGGAGAGGCAGAGAGGGAGAGAATCCCAAGCAGGCTCCATGCTGCCAGTGCACAGCTGGACATTGGGCCCAAACTCATGAACTAGAGATCATGACCTGAGCCTAAATCAAGAGTGGGAACCACCCAGGTGCCCCTGATAAGTTTCTATTGAGAAATTGTCTTTTATCTAAATGGTCAAATTTATTGGTATAGTTTTTCTCTTATTTGCATTTAATTCTCTCTTGAACATGTAGTGATGTGACATCTCTCATTTCTGATACTGATAATTTTTCTTGTTTCAGATCACTCTGACAAGAAGTTGATCAAATTTATTATTGTTTCACTTTTTAAGACTTTTTGAACATAGGCATTTATTATTATAAGTTTCTTCATAAGCACTTTTACTTTAATTACATTTTTATTGTTCAAAATGCTTCTATTTTTCCTTTAATTTCATGTATTATCCATGTGCCTTAAAGAAGTGTGTTCCAGAGATATTTTAATATTTGAATTTTGATTCCATTGTGGCCTGCAAGTATCTTTGTATGCCTTAAAGTCATTTACATTTATTGGGAATTGCTTTATGGTGTACCATACTGGTACCATACCAGTGTATGGTATATATGGCTAAATATTCCATGTGCACTGGAAAAGTATATGTATTCTGATGTTTCTGGATGGAATTGTTTTGTAAATGTCAATTAGGCTGAGTTGGTTGGCAGTGTTCTTCAAATCTATGCTCTTACGCTTTGTTTCTTCTACCATTTATTGAGATGATTATTGAAATATGACTATAATTATGTTTTTTCCATTTTCATTTCTGTGTAGGTTTATTTTTCTTTATGTATTTTTAACTCTGAAGTATGCCTATATTTTAGGATTGTTATTTATGTCTGTTTGGTGAACTGATGCTTTTATAATTATATCATTTTCTTTTGTATCTGTGAACTTATTTTTTCATCTGAAATCTACTTAGTTTGATATTTATATAGCTCTCCAGCTTTCTTTTGCTTTTGGTTTGCGTGGTATATCTTTTTTCCCCTTATACTTTTAATTTACCTATTTCTTTCCTCCTTCCTTCCTTCCTTCCTTCCTTCCTTCCTTCCTTCCTTCCTCCCTCCCTCCCTCCCT